CAGCACCTGCCCCTTGCACACAGCCCAGTACGGTCTGGCCGTCGTCCGCCAAGACGGTGCCGGAGGGGAGGGCAGAGCAAAGAAGAGCAGGACAGACCAGACCAGAGAGAGGGCCGGCTCGGCTCGGCTCGACTCCAGGGGCGGACCCTCTCCAACACCGGCGCGGAGACGGGGGTGGAGGGAGGGGAGCGGGAGCAGAAGCCGCCGCCGGGTCGCGCTGCGTGCCCGCACCGGGGTCCCGGGGAAGGAGCGGAGGGAGCGGCGTTACCTGAGCGACCCGAGCCGGAAGAGCCCGACCGCCACCGGCACCCCCGCGCCGCCCTGACAGCTCCCGGCATGCCCCGCGCCGCGCCCGCCCCGCCCCGCCGCGCTCAGCCGCGCTGCGCCCCCTGGCGGGACGCGGGCGAGCAACGGGCTCGGTGCGAGTGCGTGTGTTTGTTTGTCCGGCCTGATATTTACTGAGTTTTACAGCGCAGGAAAAAATGGAAGATTGATGATTCTTTAGAAAATTATACTGCAAAAGGTCTTCCAGTGAGGCTGTGGGTGCCCCACTCCTGGAAGTGTTCGAGGCCAGATTTCATGGGGCTCTGAGCAATCGGGTCTAGTAGAAGGTGTCCCCGCTCATGGCAGCGGGGCTTGGAAGGAGATGATCTATAAGATCACAGAATCAATTAGGTTGATGAGAGCTCTGAAATCATCAAGTCCAGCCTATGATCAAACACTACCATGTTAACCACACCATGGAACTAAGTGCCATGTCCAGTCTTTAAACACCTCCAGGAACTGACTCTACCACCTCCACGGGCAGACCATTCCAATGTCTAACCAGCCTTTCTGTGAAGAATTGCCTCCGAATGTCCAACCTATACCTCCCCTGGCACAGCTTATGACTATACCCTCTTGTCCTGTTGCTGGTTGCCTGGCAGAAGAGGCCAACCCCCACCTGGTCCCTTTCAACCCAAACTGTTCTGTGATGCTATAATGTGATATTTTCTTTGTTAGCAGTACCTGTATTGGGAATTTTCTAAAATTTCTTGTGATTAGTATGCTTGAATCCTTACTACACACAAAAACATATGGTGCCCACATGGATGGTATTGGAAGGAATTTTTTACTGCATTGCAAGAATGATTTTTCCACTGACCAGTTACACAGTATAAAGGGTACAGCTCTTAGCCTGTAATCTGTTAGTTTTAAAGTCATCATTACAGTTCTCAAATTTAAGCAGACTTCATAATAGCAAGCAGAGCTTATGGTTATAAATTACTTGGGTAACTGCAAAAAAAAAAAAAAAAAAAAAAGGTGTGTTCAGCTTACATGATTAATATTTTAGGCTTTGTCTGAGGACAGGTATTTCTAAAATATTGCCAGGGGAAAATCTCATAATATTTATAATTCTTCTACTCAGTGACTTATGTTGCCAGCCAATATTTAATGAAGTCTAATTTTGTTCTCCAGACTTAGGATAATAATAAAGAGTAAATGCAATTCCTTTTCTCATTAAACTATACCAGGAGTGGTACATGAAAAATAGTTACTTTCTGGAAAGCTGACATTTTCCACTGGTTTTCCGAGGCATCAAATATGACTCTAAGTGTCATGTATTTTTAATTAAAATGGTGTACTTACATTTATTTTTTTTCTTTGAAGAGACTTATAAATGTCTTTGAGATGTAATTTTTAACTTGGCTGGTCATACTTTTGGAGCTATTTAACAGTGGTGAACTTCACAAAGGGGAAGTGACTGTCAATGTCAATAACTGACCATGTGCTTTCACATGCTACTGCATTGCAGAGTGGTTGGATTGCTAAGCTTCCCTTGTGCTGAATTTAGTAGTGGCAGTTACAGCTCAGAGCTCCAAAACACTTCTTTCAAATTTTCTCATCGACTTTATTTGCAGTAGCAATCAAAAAAACATTGTACGTCGTTGGAGAGAATATTGAGAACAAGACAGAGGTAGTTGGCTGCTGTGTAAAAGGCTGGTGCAGCCTCAGATTGATTACGGCATCAATTCTTGTCTTCACAGCTCAAGAGGGATGTAAAGAAGTTGGGAAAGGCACTGTGGAGAGATGTCACTGCTATATTACAGCAAGAACAATAATGACTGTGACTGTTCAATGCAGAGAAAGAAGGCAGGGGAGAGGATTGATCAAATTCTACAAAATCATCAAAGGCAACACAGCTGTTGTTAACCAAACCCCACAGTATGAGAATAAGTAGGCACAGAAAATTATTTTCTTCAAAGCAGAAAACTTCTAGAACATATTGGCACCAGGGGCTGGGGACTTGGACACTATCTGTAGGTTGAAGGATAAATTCTTCATATTGATGACAAACACATCCAGAAGTGAACACTGAAGAAACTGGGTAGGGATGTACCCACAGGGGAAGCACCTGGAAGCAACTACACTCAGAGCTCTTCCTTATTAGTACCTTGTTTTGCTGATGTTGCAGTCAAAATACTGGGCTGGGTGCAGCACTGATGTTAGGTGCACTTGCTCTGTAGGAAATTTACCTTCCTTTCTCTGTAATTATTTCACAGCAGAATTGTCTATTATAGACAAAATTGTCTATAATAGACAATTTTGAATAAGTGAGACTCACACCCTGTGAACACTTAAGATTATTCATAACTTTGTAGCTTTGGGTAAGCCTTTGTAACAACAAAGGCCCTTGTACTAATACTAGGAGTCAATTCTCCTATAATTACATGTGGTTTATGTTTGACGCATGACCTACTTGTCTGCAATAATTTAGCCCACAATATGTACATTCATTTGTGAATTAATTGGAAAGGAAACCCACCATGTGGATTAATTATTTATCTTCCTTAAAAATAAAGGAAATGCAACAACAAAACCCCAAACCACCACACTCAGAACAGCACATTGAACAGTGTAGTCCCATCTTAGAATACTTCAATAAATTCATGCTTTGTAAAAAAAACCAAAATAGCTCAGTTGAAACTGTTGACTACTGTCTGCTGTATTTTTTCCCACAAATTCTAACCTTACTGCATCTTCTTTTTTGGGACTCTCCTACTTGGTTTTGGTAACTCCAAGGTCAATATAATAATGTCTTTGATAATAAATTGCTATAAAAGTTACATGTGCAAATTTGCCTGTTTGTTTGAAGCTTTGCAGATCATGTTTTTAAACAATCCTCTGAAACCACAGAAAGTCTTGTGACTTCATTAAAAAGTAAACACTTTTAATATTGTGGAAAGACTCATTTTTTACAGTGTAAAAGCTTCTTTCCTTGGTATCCTTGAACACTGAACATCAACAACAATGTGAGGGTGGCATCCTGGGTGAAGTGTGCAGTGGTCACAGTGTTCATAAGGTAAGGGAAAGTCACACAGACGTGTCAGGGTAGACTGACAGTCTCTTGATAAAAGATCTCATGAGAGGCAATAGAAAACACCCTAGAGCAGCAGTTGCCTGTGCTGAGAGCCTGTTTGCTATGAGTACAATCTAACAGCATTCAAGAGCTTTCACATGCTGCTGTGGTGGCATTCAAGAGCTTGGGTGCACGTGGATCAGGAGGAATTCAGGCAGACTTGTAAAGCTGCAAGGAAGCGTGGAGAGGGATTTTTTCACAAGGCAGGGAGTGAGTAGAGGTGCATCACCTGCCACTGGCAGCCTGCCCCTTTTTCAGCAGAGGCCTCTGCTCAGACTGAACTCTGCGGTCATTATGGGGTGACCCCAGCCACCTGTTAGTTCAGGGGTACAATCAGAAGTGCAAAAGCAAGAAAAACTGTGGGTTAAGACAATGATCTTTCAGTAGATGAGGGAAAGAGGAACAGAAAAGGCCCCCAAACGTATAGACAATCACTCACCACCTCCCACAAGAAGGCTGCTGATGTGCGGTCAGTCTCTGAGCAATGGTCACTTTGGAAAGACTACGCCCCGAGTGGTGAGAGTGATGTTACGTGCCATGGAACATCACTTGGGTGGATTCAAGTCGGCTGTACGACCTCTCCACCTGCCCCAGACTCTTCCCCACTCTTCCCCACCTCCAGCCCAGTTGCTGGGTGGTGCACAGTGATTCACTGAAAAGGCCTTGACAGTGTGCAAACAACGCTCACAATAGCCAAAACAGCAGTTTTATTATCATTATCAACCCTATTTGGCCACGAATCCTGGGCACACAGCCCCAGGGGCAGCCCACGGTTCCTGTGGGGAGGTGCCCGAGAGAACGGACCCGGGCTCCTCCCGGCGGTGGTGTAGCACGAAAGCAGGAGATGACAGCCCGGTGTTGACACAAGAGACTGCGCATAAGAAAACCCCGTCAGACCAGCCGGTTGTGCAGATCTTGACCTTGGGGCTCGGGACCCGATGGGACTCACTCCAGGGTCCCCAGGCCTGACTCTACGGCCAGCAGCGGCCAGGCCGGGAGGCGCAGCCGACGCCGGGACACCCTCCCGCCACTGCCTCCCAGCCGGAGCCGAGCTGCTGGATCCTGTGCTTGAATCGTAGCATCCCCATGCAGTGCTACGGGTTTGCGGAGGGCTGACTTGAGAGCTGCTCGGCAGAGAAGGATTCGAGCCCATATGAGCGAGCGGTGTGCCCAGGCGGCAAAGAACGCCAGTGGTATCTTGGCCTGTATCAGCAATACAGCTGGCCAGCAGGACCAGGGCAAGGATTGTCCCTCTGCACTTTGCAATGGTGAGGCCGCATCTCCAGTGCTGTGACCAGTTTCTGAGTCCCTCAGTTTAAAAAGAATATTGTTGTGCTGGGGTGTCCAGAGAAGGACAACAAGGTTCTCTAAGGGTCTAGAAAACATATCTTACAAGGAACGGCTGAGGGAGCTGCGGTTGTTTAGTCACGACGAGAGTCGGGGGGACCCCATTGCACTCTGCCACTCCCTCCACTGAAAGGAGGTTTTGGGGGCTGGTCTCTTCTGCCATGCCTATCATAACAAGACTAGGGGGAATGGCCCTAAACGGAGACAGAAGACGTTCAGATTAGACATTAGAGAAATATTTTTCACCGTTCGGATGGTCAAGGGCTGGAATAGATTTGCCGGGGAGGTGGCGGAGTCGCTGTCCCTGGAGGCCTGTGAATGTAGCGCTGGATGATGTGGTTTAGAGATTACAGCGGCAGTGCCGAGTGGACGGTTGGTTTGGATAATCGTAAAGGTCTCTTCCATCCTTGCTGAGTGTGTGATTCTGTGACTCTACGATTCCACGCAGGCGGCGCTGTGGCGGGCGGGGGGGCGGCGGCGCCGCGCCTGCGCCGGCGGGAGAGCGGCCGCTTCCTGCGCGGTGCCCAGCGCTGCTCGGCGCTGGCATGGCGTTCCTGATGGAGATCAGGCGGGGGACGCAGAGTGCGCTGCTGGTTATCCGGTAGTGCGGGGGCGCTGCCGCCTGCCGCCGCTCGGGCCGTGCGGGGCAGCCGGGGGGCGCGGCGGGTCTGGTTTTCGGCGTCCTTAGCCTTCAGCGGGGGGACCGGGTTAGCGTCTCCCCCTGCCTGTTCGGGTTGTGTGCGGGCTCGGCACAGCCTGGGCTACTGTGCAAATAAATTTTTCCTGAGAACGGTGGATTGTTTCTCTCGGCTGCTCCTCGTTCACCGCGTGGATCCCGGGACGCGACCGGGGCTGCGGGGGAGCTGCTGTGTAAAGCAGCAGCGCACCCCGACAGCTCCTTGCCGAGGAATACCCATTGCTTTCCCTCCGCAGCGCGGCGGCGGAGCTCCCCAGCGCGCCGGTGGAGGTTTCGGTGTGCGCGGATTCTCTGGAAGTGAGGAGCGGCGGGAGCTGCGATGCGGCGGCGCTGCCGGCAGGGGTCAGGCTGGCGCCGTCCTCGTGCCGCGGGCTGCGGCGCCTGCGCGGGGACGGGCTGCACCTGCGCGTGCGCCTGCGCCGCCCGCCGCCCGGCGCCGGTGAGGGCGGGGCTGCGGAACGGGGGAGGGTGCCCGGGGACCTGGCAGGTGTGAGGGAGAGTGTGAAGCGTAGATTCTGTAGAGAAACACCTTCTGGAATTGTAGGTTTTAGAAATTGAAAGTGCAGAAAGGACCTAATGAAAGTGTAGAAGTGACGTAACGAAAGGGAAACGCCGTGTGTTTGGGATCTGCTCACAGTTCCCCCCCTCCCCGTGCTTCCCTATAGTACTTCAAGATTATCATTCTCTCCTATTCCGCGTTTGGTAGCTGAAAATAACAGTCATAAAATGCTAAGGGGTTGGAACGGACTTTGAAGATCATGTAGTCGCAAGTCTGCACTGCCATTAGCAGGGATATGTCCCACTAGAGCGGGTTGCTCCAGGACTTCCCTGGCTTTGAACGCTGCCAGGGTTGGGGCATCCTCAGCCTCCCTGGGCCGCCTGTGCTGATGTCTCACTACTCTCACAGTAAAGAATTTCTACCTAATATCTAACCTAAATTTACATTCTTTAAATTTGTACCCGTTACTCCCCGTCCTATTAGTAATGCAATAATCTGATTTATCCAGGCTATTAGACTATGCTTGTCCATCCCTAACCGCTTAATCATAAAGGATTACGGGTTTGTTTGGGGCTAATTATTCTCACAGCTGGGGTTTCAGAGGTTAGTGTCACAGATAACATCTGCAAAGTTACCTTCTTTATTTCTGTGATGCTAATTCAGGTCTAGGATGTGTTTGCAATAAATAGAAAGCATGGTAGTACAGCTGTTGCTTTCTTTCATCCTGGCATCCAAGCTCAATATGTTTAGATTAATTTCATACGATGTGACACAGAAAGATATATTAAATAACACAAAATTGCCATTCTGAGCTTTTAAAGTAGGAAAGTATGATAAAATATGTAATATACACTAATGCAGCACCAGAAACATATTGGAATACTCTGTTGGTATGCTGAGGTGGCATCTGTACATTAATCTGTAATTATGCATGTGCTTTGACAACTCAGTTATACTAAAATTATCTAATATGTCCTATTAACGAGATATGTTTCAAAAGACCAATGATGAGGTTTTAAAAATCAAGTTTGGAAAGTCATGCTAGTGAAAAATAAGTATGTGAACCAGGTAGTAATCAATGTATATATTGGATAGTCTTAGTTACCCTTTGATATTTTATGTTAATATGTAAAGTAGTTGAAATTCTGGAACCTTTTTAAGTACTTTTCTCTTGTGATTGAACCCTAAATTTCAAATATTGAATGTCAGTGCTGAGAGTATACTTTGATTCTTGAGTATGAGAAAGTGGGCGATGCAAAGCATATTCCTATGTAGAGCTAGGCTTACAGTTTTACTTTTCCTTAATGTTATCCAATAATTTGGGGCAGTTTTTGTAGCTTCTTTTTCCACTTTGGAGAAGTTGTTTGAGCTGCCTTTTGTGAGACCATTTTTGTTTTCCTGGCCTGCAGAGGCCGTTGCTCTCTTATCTTTTCCTGTAGTGGCTCCACAATGGTTGGTTTCTTACCTGCCTGAAAATGTAAAACTAGTGTCTGCCCCTGCTCCCTGTCTTGACAATTTGTGTTACATATTGGTGTGTCCCCTCATATTGCAGATACATTGATTATAAGAAATATCATTACAAAAGAGTTGCGCTGAATTTTTATTTTTATAATCTCTGCAATTATATAAATATATCAACTCCCTTTCTGAAGAGGATTTGCATGTTGAAAATTATTCACAATTATTCCTACTCAGTAATGGGGCATTACGTGGAGATGTCAAGCTTTTCCTAAATCTAAATACTTGCTTCTAAAAAAATTAAGGTTGTGTTTAAAATGTCAGCCTTTTTCTTTGTCTGTTAGATTTATCCTTTTTGGTTTGAGGTATTTGATGAGATTTTTTTGTAAAAGTGACTGAAAATTTTGCACAATTTTGAAGATTAATATATTTTCTTCCATCTATAGATGTGGTTTTTACTTTGAGGGAAAGCCTGAAACCCAACAAGAATTACATCTTTTACTGTCAGTCCTGTGGTGACATCGTAGTGAAAGACCGGTGAGTACTGCAGTGTCTTGTATTTATAGCAATAAATGCCATAGTGATTGGTATTCATGTTATTTTATGTACTTATGGATAGCTAAAAGGTATTTATTTTGAAACTGATAGACTGGAACACATTTGAAGCAGATGACAAAAAGAAAAATTACCTGAAGCAGTTTTTAGCTGTTTATTCATTTACTCCTTGATTTCTTTCTTCCTCTATACTTTAGGTATCCTTTTCAGTTCTTTTCAGTCTCTTATAAATTTCCTTTAGTCATCATGCTGTAACTATAGAGTGGCTGCTCAGAATGGGGATACTGACCACAGCTTTCCTTTATCTTTTAAGCAAAGCCTACCTCTACATAGTTCAGGCATGCTGAATTTGGGAAACACAGGAACTGTGTCTTAGCTGCATGACTCGGCCTTATCTCTGTTCCTTACAAAATCTGCAGAGTGAATGAGAATTTTAATAAAAAGCTGCTGCATTGTCTAGCTCTTCTGATGAACAATTTTGACAGCTTCAACTGAATATATAAGAATCATTAGAGGTGCATTTACAGCCTTTTATGATCTGTGTGGCTTCTAATACTCAAAAATACAAATGTTTCATTCTCTAAATTTATGTTACTTTCTTCATAGAAAATATGATATGGATACATACTTTCATAGGTATGGATTTATGGCTAGCTGAATGGAACTGAATGAGGATTTCTTAGCTTTCTCTTCTGATATGTCGGATCAGAAAGTCTGTTAGTAACTCTTATTTTGGTACATTTGTAAAGTTGTGGAACTTCTCATTTCTAGTCAGTAACATTTGCTTTCAAAACATATTGCGCTTTTATATTTGCATCTCTGAGTGGGAATTTCAGCACATCAAATTCATATGCTGTAGTTTAAATCTTTTGGTTCTGCATCCTGTAACATGACACAAGCAGAATTTTTGGGAAAGGGAAAAGAATGCACATCCATGGCTTTTCACTCAGCAATTCTCCTTGCAGGGAGCCTCTGAACCCCTTGAATGTTGCCACTAAAAAAACCTCAGACAAGAGTAGAAGAGTGGAGCTGCCAGTGTATCCAACACGTTCTGTTCCAGCATTTATAAAAGGAAGAGAGTACCATAGTCAGAACTTACAGCTAAAGAATTCATGTGTTCCTCTCTCCAGGAAGAGTTAAGTATGACAGTGACAGCAGAAGTGGAAGGATTGAAGGGAAGTTGCAGAACTGTGTGAAAGAGAGTATATTAAAGTCTGAATTACTAGGAAAGGGTCTGTAATAAGAAAAACACGAGATCTAGAAAATCATACCTTTAAGAAGAAATTGAAATAAATGGGATTTAGTGTAGATAAGGTTGTGGAGAAGACATAAGATTCTTCCAATATCTAGGAAGTGGCTGCAAAGAAGGTGTCAGTAATCTTCAGCTGAAGCAAGAGAAATCTAGGTTAAAATGAAAAACAAACAAACCAACAAACCACCCCAAACCTATTCTAAAGCTTTTTTTTTTTTACTGTTAGAGACTGCATAGGAAGCCTTCTTAAATGTAAGTAATCCTTCCTTGGTGCACAGAAATTGACTTTATACATTTTCTGAAATCCTCTGCCTCAGTCTCTTTCCTTCCATAAATCTGATAGCTCTTCAGAGGTTAGGGATATGCTCTTTCATTCTTTTCCACATTAGAGGAAATTATTAGATTGTTTTTTTCTTCCATCATGCAAGAGCTGCAAGGAATTAGGGACACTTTCTTTATTCTTTCTCTCCTTCCAGTTGGGCTAAGTGTACCTCATATATAAAATAATTCTTTAAGGCATTATTGCTGTCATGAAGAAATTTTTAAGGGCTTGTGGTGTGTGGATGCCAGGTGCCCACCAAAACCGCTCTATTGCTCCCCTCATCAGCTGGACAGGAGGAACAAAATGTAACCAAAGGGGTCACAAGTCCTGGCAGCAAACCTGTGCCAGTGTGGGCTTCTCACTCTCTATCATGGGTCCACAGATTTTGCCAGACTTCCCATGTGGCCACAGACTCTTTCGGGCATCTGTCTGCTCTGGTGTGGGGTCCTCCATGGAGGGCATCCATCTACTCCATTGTGGAGCTTCATGGGCTGCAGCAGGACAGCCTGCTTTACCATTATCTTCCCCATGGGATGCAGGGAAACCTGCTTCATCCAGTGCCTGGAGCACCTTTTCTCCTCCTTCACTGTCTTTGGTGTATGCAGAGCAGTTGCTTTCAGATTTTCTTACTCTTCTGACTGCAAGATGTTTTTTCCCACTTTATTAAATATATTTTCAGAGAGCCGCTGTCACTGCTGATGGTGTTATCCTTGACCAGTGGTGGGTCTGTCTTGGAACTGGCTGACATTGGCTCCATCGGACATGGGGGAAGCTTCTGGCAGCTGCTCACATAATCTATCCATGGAGATCCCCTACTACTAAAACCTTGCCATGCAAATGTAATGCAGGGGAGTGGTCATAGCACCAAGCCTGCTAGAGTTCAAGAAGCATCTGGACATGGTATGAACCTCCAGGTTGTCCTGTGCAGGGCCTGAAGTTGGGTGCAATGATCCTTGTAGGATTTTTCCAACTCAGGATATTCTATGATTGTATGATAATGATTGGTACTGCACAAATATTCCATTGAAAAACTTATGGCAGGGGAAATCTAATTACACTTTTCCTACTTAAGTAGTGTTAAGCCTGACAGTTAACTGTCAAGCTGGGTTATCCCAAGATTTTTTAATAGGCAAATAAGGGAGACAGCAGTTAAAGAAATGCAGATGTTTTTTCTTTGTCTCTGAAGGAATTGAACAGTTTTATGTTTAAAAGTCTAAAGTCCATTTTACTTCCAGTTTTCAGTATTTTCAATAGACAGAATGGTATTACTGGGTATCAGTTAATAATGACGTTTGGAGTTAGTTTACTTAATCCAGTCTTACAGGAGTCTCTATGGTCAAATACTTACCTTAGCATGGAAGATCATTTAAGAGTTATATCCTTATGGCAGGGCTCTTATAGACTAGTACTTAACTTCAAACTTTTCAAAGATAAGTTAATTACTTACTTTTCTGGTTGGAACTATCTATATCAGGAGATTCAGCCTGGCTAGATTATACACTTTCAGCGGAAAGCTACTCCTAAAGGTCCCAACCTAAGAATTGTTTGTTGCTCTCTGACTGTGAAGGCAGCCTAGGTGCCTATCTTCAAATAGAAAGTCAGTTGTTACCAGAAGGAAGTTTGGGGAGATAAGTCACCCTGATTTCTAGGTTTTATCATGTTATTTAGTAGCCTTAATTTAGTCAGTACTTAGTAAACCTCATGTTGATTTTGTTTTTCTAGGAAGGCTCCATTTTTATTAGTGTTACATTTTTCCAGTTCTGGTGACCCAGGATATGGCTTTCCACCCATGAGTGTCAAAAGCCTAAAATACAGTGGAAATGGTATATTTTCTGTATAGCTCAGAGTTAGGAGGAGTTTGTTTAGGAAATTCCTACTGGCTGAAAAAACTGCTTTTGTTGGAAAAGAAGTGAAGATATTTATGCTGTAGACTGTGAGAGTAAAGAAAGGTTGATGTAATGAAACAGGACAGCATGAGTCTGCAGTTTAAGGTAATCTTTTTTTTTTTCCCCTTGTAACAACATTGCTGAATAATGCCAGCTTTTTGGTACTTTTGTGTAAAAAGCAATACAGGAAGATTTATTTTTTTTTTTGTAGCAGGAGTCCAGGCACTGGAACCAATTGAAAAGGCTGATAAAGAATTAGTTATTAGGCCAACATCAGAACTAAAATCAGAACTAAACTGTCATTTTTGGAAGAATTGAGTAGTATCTCAAGCAATATATAAAACCACAGAAAATGAAGACAGACATGGGTAGTGCTGAGAGGTGATCTTATTTAGTTTTGGTAAGCTGCATCAGAGGATGAGTTATTCCAACTTTCATCTGCAGGTGGAGCAAGCAGAGTTTAAAATGTATTGTCTATTTAGAAAAAAAGGATTTTTTTTAATTAAACATTTTTCTTTCACCCACCAAACAATTCAAAAGGGCCAAGAAGCTACAGTGGGAAGAACTGATGTATTCACAAAATGTTAGTCTGGGAACTGCAGGAAAGGGAGGATGCTTAACTGTTGGCTTAGCAGCTGTGTTTTTATTTGCAAAGTAGCACCATAAGCAAAGTTGTATTTGCAAGTTTTAAGTAAGGAGTAGAATCAAGAAACTCTGGTGAAGATTTCAGGAGACAGCTGAAGAAATAGGGTAACCATTCCCTTAGAAGAAAGGGAAGGCATTCAAGGAAACTAGGCAGAGAGCAGAAAATGAAAACCCAATACAACTGATAATGAAAACAAGGTAGTATTTCCAGAAGCAGTAGCCTTGGTTCATGCAGCTACCCAGGAGAAAGGGATTTGCCTTTTTTGTATATGACTTCTGAAAGTTGGATCTGAGTATCTAAATCTAAATTAAGATTGAATTATCCTTTTTTTGTTGTTTTGTTTGTTTGGGATTTTTAATGAAGATGTACTGTGGTATATTTTTCAGGTTTTAGCTTTTTCAAGCCTGGTATCTGAAACAAAGAACATGCTGGATCTTGCTGTGTCATGAGTCTATTTCTGTTGGTTTTATATCAATATTTGGTGCAATGGTACTTTACAAGAAGTAATAAATGTAATTGCAAATGCTTATAGTCATATTTTTCATGACTGGGTAGAACTGTTTTATTTCTGCCATGTGATTAATTTCAAGAGAGGACTATGTCAAGTTCTGCCTTATAATCGTTGGAGATTCACCCTTGGGAAATGCTTCATCACAGACTTGGCAGGAAACTCAGCCATCGCTTTCTCAGAATTCACCCAAAGGAAGTGCCTTTGGCTGGAAAGAGAGTCAAGCACTTCTTTTTGAGAAAATGCCATGCTTCCCCCACTACTTGTAGGAGCCTAAACTCTCTTTAAGTGTCTTAGAAATTAATGAGAACATACTGAAATATTTGTCTTTTTTTTCCCTCTAAGGAAATTTCTCAGAGTTCTTCCTCTGCCGAGTGAAAACTGGAGTGATTTAGTTGAAGAGTGGTGTTGTCACCCTGACCCCTTTGCCAGAAGCACTTTGCACCCTCAGCATGCTGACTGTTTTGTTGGAGACAATTTTTTTCTGTTGAATTCAGAAGATGAATCACATCTGCCTGCATCTCCCGTGTGCTGCTCAGAGGCTGGACACCATGTTTCACATAGTGGCTCCAACTTGGTAAAGTATTTTCTTCAAATAGTTTTTAGGTGAACTTTAGGACTTTTTCATTGTAAAGCACTTCTTTTGTTACTAGTTTATATAATTTATATGTATTACAGAACTATTTTGAAGGTCATAGGGAGTTCTTCACATTCAGCTGTACAGAAGCCAGAAAATATTCCAGGCTATGTTTCACATTTTCTAAAGCTCACACCACAGTCTTGATATTTGCCTCAGTATGCAGGTAGAACTTAGTACTATAAATAGAAGCTACTTAATTATGTAGTTCTAAACCCAGATATTTTCCCCCAAAGTTATCATGAGTGAAGGACGTCACAATTTAGTATGATAATAACTGATGGGTTAGGTATTTGTTAAAGGGTAGTGGAGCAAAGAATGAGGTGGAAATTGATGTTACAATTATTTTTTTCTCACACTGTGACTTGAGACATAATCATAACTATGATTAAAGAGAAGTTTTGACTTTTTATTTTATTTTTTTTTTTAGTTTAAGAGAGACTTGGAAATATCAGAATGTGTGCTTTGCATTTAGATGTGGCTATCTTAGGTTCTTAAAGCATAGTAAGGAAATTGAGTTTGTTTGACTGCTCTGTCTAGTAAAAGGAACCTGCCATTCCATATTGTAGCTCTTCATGTTGATGTTTCTGAGGTGTTCCAGGACAAGATAGTTTCATCAACCAAGTCTGTAGGAAGAAGGCTGTTATTTGGCTTAGAAACATCAAAATTTGTTGTTGTCCAGAAAATACATTTTTAGGCGTGTGTATGTTTCAGTGGTGGGATAAAAGACATGAAGAAAGACAGTTCAGTGCTTAACTTTTGGACATCTAGCAATTGTATAAAAATTCAAGCAATGATCTTTTCTTCTGTCAGAAGAACATCCAGGAACTCAGTTTACCAAAGCCTACATTTCCATAAAGCCTTTTCTGTTAATCTACTGCTTGTCTGCATTTGTGCTGATGAAGATTGGACCTACACATGCTGTATTTTCTCCCAATACCAAGTATTAAAATGTCTGCATTGCTGTATTGGCAATTTGTGTCTGTAACAATCGATGACTTATTCTGTAGAGATTTCCAGCATGAAACATTTAATCTCTTGAGAACAAGACACCCTGATTTCTTCCTGCTGCTTATAGTGATATGTATTATCCCCAGTAAGAGTCACCAGGATTCTTGCAGTTCACTGGCTGCTGGTGTGATGCTACAAGCGATCCCTCTGCATGGGGAGCAGTTCTGTCCTGTTCCCTATCTGTAAGGCTTGCAGCTGTGGTCCCTTGGGTTTCTTGTTCCATTGTTCTTTGAAAAACAGAATATGCAGAGAGGAAAATAAGTACTGATACACTGTAAGGGTACTAGCATGGCAGAAGCAGATTAATTTGGCTTAACTCTGTGACAATGGAGTTACTTCTTCTAAGTTTCCTTAAGAAGGAGGTGGAGTAGATGATACTAAATTTGCAAGAAGACAATGCTTTCTGCCAGAGGTTGCTTGAATTCTCGCATTTCAGTAGTCATAAAAGAGATCTTAGAACATCAGGAATAAATATGGGAAGAGGCAGGGCACATGGGGTTCATATTGCACACTTCTTCATCAAAGAGAATGTGAGAAAAGGATTTATTTGGAGGCAGAAGCGTAATGAGGATGTGGAACAAAGATTTTATTGAGATGTGGGTCAAACCAGGATAACAGCAGAATTTTTGAATGAGGGAGGAGGCTGTTTTATGTTAGAAGCATACAACAGTAGTTTAGTGTGATGAGTTTTCATGTTTGCTTCCTTATACTTGCATTGAAGTTGAGAATTTGTTCCTTGTTTGTGTCCAATCCCTTTTTTTTCATCTTTCACACTTGCAATGAATTCTCATTTCTGTGTTTGCTTATTTCCAGCATCACTCAGTTGCCAAGCAAATGAGCACAACTGTTAGATCCAGCAGAAGCTAGACTAATAAGGGAAAAAAAAAACCCTCATACCGAAGCAGAAAATTCTTCCATAATATGAGTAATAGAAAGTTACAGGAAAGACAGATTGCTATTGGCATAAATGTTCTCATTTTGGAGAATATTGTTGCAGTCTGCCCCAGTATGAAAGTTCCTTTTTAATTACATTGCAGTTTTTTGGAAAGTGTTTGTCTATGACCAAAATAGTAGCTGGAATGTACCAGAGATGCTTAAACAATTTTTTCCAGATTCCAGTGGGACCAAGACAGCATCCGTCCATTGCAAACATATTTTTCACATCTATTAGTCTTTCAATGTAACATAGTTCTTAAATGTCACATGGGCTTGCAGCATCTTAATAGTATCTCTTGGGGAAAATATTTTTCCTGACACCATATCAGGGATCCTTAGGAATAGAGACAAAAACTATTAGGCTTGTGATCCACCTGTATCTTCAGATTGCCAGCAGCTGCAAGTTGTCAAATGGATAAATTGATTTAATTAGTTGAGCTAAAACTATCCCGTTTTCTATTGAAGCATGATACAACAAGTTAGTGATGTTTTTTAGGCACAATTCTCAGTCAGCACCTGTAACGGTAGCCAGGAAAGAAATACTGAAGTTGTAGCTTTCAGGGAAGTACTGTGTATTCTGTACTTGTACTGTGCAGTATTTGTACCACTCTCAAACACTGGCTTACACAAAAAGTCTTGTCTGTTTATCCTTGGTTTTCACACTGAGCAAGTAATTTCACTGCATATGTTTGAGAGGAGTAGCAAGGTAGGAACTGGGAGAGGGGATAACTGCATATATACCAACCAGATGATTTTCCTGATCTCCATAACAAGGAGACTGTACTTCAAACATAGTCAGCTCTCAGGCTTTTAGTTTGATTCTCTGGTTTTGACTGTCATTAAGGTAATATATGTATGCACTGCTTTCAGACCACAGCTCTAATGTGCTACACCCAGGTTAATAAGCCCACACAGAACCAGTTCTGAAATTTAGACTTTGGCTTAAAGTAGGCATTGTGCTTATTTATTTGGTGTATTTAATTTAAATATTAACACTGTAATTAGTAGGAGTCTTATTGGGTAGATTTCATACAGAAATGAGACCTTTTCAAAGGACAGTAATAGATGCACAAAGCTAAGACAAATATTCAGTGATGTTTTGGAGAATGTAGAGACTCTGTGAATTAGATATTGTTATCCACATTTTTTGTGGATTTCTAATTTTTAATTAAAAGGACAATTTTTTTAATATTTAATTTTTAAAAAGGCTACTTTTAATAAGCCCTTGATGACACTGCTTCCCCTGAATTTTGTAGACTTTTTGAACTTGTGTATACTTTTAATATGTAAAATGCTTTCCTACAGTGAGTACTGAACTATATTATGCATAGTGTGACAAATGCCTTCCTTTTTTTTTTTTGATACAAACAGAGTTGGAATTTCATAGCATAAACTATGAGGGCATATGTTTGTTTTTTTCTGTTCAGCTTTTCCTAAACATTTGTGATTTTAGGTATCTCAATATCCCTCAGTTTTCTGTCTTCCATATGTTCTCCTGTTAGGTGTATTTTCTTGCCACATATGGAAACTGTTTTGCACTTCTGACAGTTATTCTTATTCTTTGTAAGTACCTTTTCTGTATTTGTTTGAATAGAGGGAGAAGGGTTGTTCAAGAGCAGAATCCACTGCACCTTCCTGGAGTATTGTGCTGTGTTGTGTACTTCAGCTGTTCCCTAGTAACTCAAAATAATCTGCAGACATTTTCTGCTCTCTGCTGAACATTGAACTGGTATTCAACTCCTATAAAACTGTCCACAGTGGCTAGAACTTGTTACTGAGTAATGGTAGTCACATTGCAGCATACTATTTTATGTATATATTTTGGAGTACTTAATTTCAGGTGCATTATTTTACCCTTAGCACAATCGAATTTAGCTTATAATTTTATCATCCAGTCACTCAATATTACAGGATTCTTCTGTTAGCCATTACAGATTGTACTATGTGGATATATTGCCAGATTTTAAAATTAGTATGAGACTTGCAAGCAAGTCCAAGTGTAGAAAGCTGAAGTGGTGAAGGCAAATATGTATGCATATAAACATAAAGAGGATAGAAACAAGTAAAAAGTTTCCTATCTGCTCTGTAAATTATGTTACAGCTATGCATTCTTTTTTCAGAATATCTGAGTGACATTTAAATGATATTTTTTGTCCTACAGAAGTCAAAAGAAAATACCAGAGTAATTTGTAAGCGCTGCAAGACAATGCTGGGAGAAACTGTTTCATCAGGTATGAGATGTCCAAACAAAACTAGATTTGACTGTGTCAGCCATTGAACACTGGAAGTTAAAAACACTGAAGGGAAGTGGTTTTTCAATAAGGTCCAGTAATAATTCCTGTGTGTTAGTCTCATTCCCTTCTGGAACAGATGAGGTTGTTGCTTCCAGTGTTAGACCTTGAAAGTGACTTTCAGCAGGAATTTTCATTATCCTTGTTTCTGTGGCATATTTGGCTAATTCCAAACCCTTGGAAGACTCAATGCATGATTCCAGTTTACAGCGAATCACAGTAAAAATGGAGACTTGAGAAATTACAGATTGCTTGTTTTCCTGTCAGTTCTACAGAATAAGTGTAAGGTAGATTCAGAACTTGATCAACACAGCTACAAGCTGGAGACTGCCAACAGTCAGCCTGGTTTTGTGGGAAGGAAGCCTTTTAAAGAAACAGGTTATGTCTCATCCTCATCCAATGATAAGCTGATGAGATTATCAGTTTAAAAACTGTAGTTATATTAGATCAGCAGCGTTTACCTGAAATGGTGAAAAGATGAGTGTCTGGTTGTTTTAAAATTCAGCTATTAATGGAAGAGAAGCAATGGTAAGACTGTTATTAGCAGGGTTCATTCTTTCTTTCTCTGTCTCTTCCACTGCATCAGTCAGTGGGAGCCTGCCTCATTTCAGAGATCTGGTGAATATAAAAACTTCTCAGAAAATGCAAAGCCCGTTTAAGAAATGTCATAAGGAGAGACAAGACAAAAGGTCTTCTGTTACAAAATGTTCTGATTGTCCTGTAAAGGGATCTGAGCAATACAGGCTTTAATGAACCCAAATTTAAGGTACAATGTTTGAAAGCCCACAAAGCAAGATGTGACTTCAGGAAAGGAGTGCTGAGAAAAGAGCATGAATAACAAGGTCATGACTAATAAATCAGTGGGAACGGGGAAAGGCAAACACTACAGATGTGCAGGGATTTGTTATGGACTGTGCAAATGGCTGAAGTTAAATAGGCTATCCATTGTTTTGGCCATGTTCCTTCAGTAGTGCAGAAAATTTCTATAGAATTCAGAGAATAAAAGAGATGTATAGTGTAAGTCTAGGCAGAACCATTTCTGTGAAAAGAAGCTAGAGGGCAAACTTGACTGTCATGCTTTGGTGCTTCCTCATGAGCAGGTATCAGTGTCTGGAAGATAAAGCAGGATTAGAGCAGTGTAGCTGTGGAGACCAGATTCAGCTTTGAGATTCCCCCATGGGCTATTCCTTTCCCCAGCTCTATCCACATATACTCATATGATTTTTTCTTGGGAAGTCACACCTTCTATCTCTCTGCAAGCAGACATCTCCTGAATTCCAAATACCCTTGTAGCAGTAGCACCAATTCCTTACTCAGGGTAATGGCTGAGGAGCTAGAGAGACTGAACTGTCTTTTCTTCCTGTCTCCAAGAATTCACCTAGCATGGAGCAGACTTAATAAAATTTAGAAGTAAAATACAATTTCGTAACAATGAAGATAATTTAGAAAGTGTAGTATTTACCTGGGGAAGGGGTGGGATTACCAAACCTTTGGAGGGTTTAAAACAGATCAAGTGTCTTCCTGAAATGTTTGCTTTCGTCCAGTTTTAATGGTATGTGTGGACAGAGATCAGATAAAACTCTTCCATCCTTAAAACTTGTGGACCAAATGAATCTTCCAGTTGCTCACATACTGAGGCTTAGTAGAATGAATTTATTACTCTTGACTTGTTTTGCCGGCCCTAACTAGAAGTTAGGCTGTATTTGCAGCACAAACCCAGATCTTTAATATGATCATCTTTGATTTGACTTCATTGATGGGGATTAAATTATGTCCTCAAACACTTTTATTTAGTGTTAAAAGCTGTCTTAGTGGGGCTTTTGGTGAACAGTTACATTGAAATTCAGAATGTATGCAGTATTAATGTTGAGTGAGTGTGATTTTTGTAAAGAAGTTCTGTTCTCTTTGAGCAAAGAAGAAAATTATTCCCCCGTGTGAGCTGTTATTAAAACTGTCTCTAGTGATTCACTGCAGCATTACTAAGCAGCAGAGGGTACTAAAATACTTATGTAAGCTATGCTGATCTCAGTGCTTTAGGAAAGTTCTTTCAATTCATCTTTCAGGTTTGGCTTGAGCTCTTGCTTGCTTGGTTTCAAGATGATTGTTCCCAGCATTAAACAAAGATCAATATGAATGAGAAATTGCTGATCTTGTAATTAGCTGGGAGCAGTTTTCTTCAAGCAGTGTGAGTTTTTTGTTATGGTTGCTTCTACTCCTACAAACCCAAGCAAAATATGATTTTCTGCTGTACCTCTTAATTGACTACTGAACAAATGTTTAATTAGAATAGTGATATGGTGACTCACAGTCTAATAAGTTGGTTATTCTATTATAATTGAAATAGGTTTTTTGTCATTTTAGATACCATTAAATATTATGTCACTGAGGTGATTATTCAACCAGCTGAGGAAAGTTTCAGTCCAATGCCAAGGTAACAAAATAATCAGATAATTTGCTCAAGTGTATGTTTTAGAAAAGATGCTAGAAATGCTCTAATGTTGTAGTTTCTTGAATAATTATATATAATAACAGAGTTCAATTTTATGTAATCATCACGGAATTAAGCATTGTAAAGGCAAAGTAGCCTGAATTCACTCATGTACAGTTTTGTTTGCTCATCTTTGTGTGTGATGCAGGAGATTTTGTATAATTTGTCACCGTGTCTCACTATTCAGGTGAGAAGCCAAAATAAAATACTTTTTTATTTTGAACTATTTAAGTTGGCACAATGTCTGGTGACTAATTATGGAAACAGAAGTTTGTGTCATGTAAAGTTAAATTACGTAAAGCATGAAATGTTTACTTGGAAGTGAGACTTTTGAATTTTCAAGTAATTCAGTTTGAATTTAAGACTAAAATGAAACAAAACTCTATCTAGCTAGCTGGTATCATGTACAATGGTTTAATCACAGTTCTTTCTTTTTGGGAATTATATTTGAAATATATGCATAATTCTGAACTTTGTGTTCATATGTGTAAAATATAGTGGAGAAAAACTTCTATTCAGCATTTGACAGTTGGTGTCAGCCAAAATTAAGGATGTGAAGCAATTTAGAATCCTGATCTATTGAAAAATTCCTGTTGCAGGAAATAAAAAGTTCTCTGGTTTTGAGTGAGAGGAAGATAAAGAAGCCCCATCTTTCTGTAAAATGTGGTTTTAGGATGTAGTGGAATTGAAGTATGAATTACTCATTTACCTGTAGTGCATCAGTATGAATGATTGTCTGTGTAGTTGTTATAAAAGCATATGATATGCGGTTAATTCTTAAACAGGTCTCAGTTTGTACAGAGCGTGGTTGCTCAGTGTCTTCTGGAATTATCATCTGCTAAAAGCACATTTAGATTCACCATAAAAGGAGATCATGGAAAAACCTATATTCTGGTAAGTTTTTAACTCTGTGTCTTGCTGAAGAAGTTTAACCCATCAATATCAGTTCCTAAAATGTATTATTCATGCTGTTAATTGTTGTAGGTTTAAAAAATTAACAAATTCAAATGTTTGAAGTGGTTCTGAGGTACATTTGTTCAAGTAAGAGTATCCCCGAGTTTTTAATCTAATTAGATGTGCACGTAGAAATTTTATTGATACAGTAATGAAAGTGCTACCATAAGTAGCACAGAAATAACACTATTTTGTATCCAGAAAATATAGAAAGCTTAATTTTTAATTTTTAATTTATATTTCACCTTCTTGCTCCAGCACTTCTTTTCTTTAATCACCACAAGTGAATGAAATTGTATAGCATCTTCCACAAGCATTGTCTCAAGTTAGCAGGGACTATTAATAAAGTCAGTACATTGCATTGCGAAGTGAAGTGCAAACAGAAATAGAATTGCCTATTAAACTTAATGTTCTAATGCTGTTAAACTTGGTTAAGCTGGATATTTAGATGGTGACAGCTAGATTCCTCAAACCTTTATGATTGGTAGGAGTTACCTAAATACTGTACACTTAGTATAATCAGGGATGTATCCTTTTATTTCTGAACTAAATATGGGTATAGAATTTGAATTTTCTAAGTTTATAGAAATAATTCACAGACACAAAGAAATACATGATTAGAGATTCCTGCCCTGGATAAACTTATAAATGCGCTTTCTTGAGGCAGTGTAATTACATAAACTCTTTTATATATGCATTGTCCAAGTTCTATGATTTTGGAACATCCAGATGCTGAGGAAAGTGTATATCTGTTGTTTTTAAATAAATTTTAGTGCCAAGACAACATTTGTACAACCACTGAGAAATATCTCTTCCATGATGATTAAATGAAGGTTCCATGAGCAGACCCATAATTATATATTGTCTAATGGAGGAGTCATTAAAAATCATTGTGACTTTTCCCTTGTAGCTTATCTGTTCCCAAGTTATATAAAATTCCAGTGCTTAAGTCTAGTAGCTTAGATACAGCAAACTGGTTATTTTTTAACAGAAAAATCACTTCATTTAGTAGATTGCCATTACTCTTAGCTCTGAGCTGCATTTTTGCCAGTGTATTGATTAGAGGAGCAGGCTGAATTAGATAGGGACTGACTTCTGATTGGCATTTATCTCTTCTTTTATATTGGTTAGTTGTTAGTTTTTTGCAGATGTTTTTTGTATGTGACATCAGAAAGTCCTTACTCCAGTCCAGGGTGAAGTTCTGGCTGCTGTATACACATCAACAGCTGTTCTGGAGTCATGGGTTAAGTCTTAGGACTCAGAGGCCTTGTGGACACAAGTATAATGTAAGCTCTGTTTATATTAATGATTGTCAACAGGTAAACAGTAAAATGTGGGTGCTTGAAGCTGTGCGCACACAGCCAAGTTATACAAGTAGTCTCTTCACTGATGCATCATGAATCAGCTGTCTCATTTGTTTGTTTTGATAATGAGCCAAAGATTCTAGTTCACAGTTTTTGTGCTTACCTATGTGAATACACACAGCTTAGACTGTGTAGGTGATAATTTAGATCAAGGTTTCTCACAAGTCTTATTAATTATTTTAAACCACAAATAATATGTATACTTATTTTCCTCATTTCCTCTGTATGTATCACTTTCCCAATTAATGTTAAGTTACACATGTTCTGTTGTTCAACCTATATACTACTTGTGTTTTGTTTTGTTTTGTTTTAGTTTTAAGGGATGTCAAAAAAAAAAAGTTTATTGGTTTCAGGGGAAAAAAAGTGGTACATACAGATATCTTTATTTGTCCTAACTGTATCTCTTCCCTCTTCACATTTGTGGATCACTTGCTTCCTCTCTTTGCTCCGCTGTTGAAGGGTTCTCTGCCTTGTAGTTGCATGACTTAGAGGCTAAGAATAAGTGAAGAACAGCAAACAGATAGGGAGATGAGAGAACACCAGCAAAATGTTACATTATTATTCAGCATAGCAGCATCTCAATAGATACCTATTTTTTTTCTATACTATAAAAAAGTGTAGCTTTGAAAGCGGTAAATAAGCAGTTTTCTGGATAGATATAGGGAATTCATCATGTGGATGGGATCAACCTCATGAGACCTAGGAAGATTATGTCTGTGAAAATCAAAAAGTGTGCAGTGGTTTGGACTCTTTGAACACTATCTCCAGTCTTTCAGTATTGAAGGAAAGATGTTTTTTGGAGTGGGATTAGACTGTAAAGTGTTTTGGAAGTGAGGCAGCTTGTATTTCAGGAGTGAGCAGAGAGGGAGTGGGAAGATATCCCAAGGAAATTAATGCGTAACGAAATGGGAGAGACCTGTAGTCTGATGATTGTCCCTGTCTTGAAGGACATGAGCAGAAACAATTTGCATTTGTTAAGATTGGAGATGGGATGGAGGTTGCAGTGGTCAAGAAGTGAGATAATGAGAACCTTACTGAGACTTTAGCTACCCAGCTCTCTTAGCTTTATTCCTTGTGAAATATGTGGAAAACACGTCTTTACCTGAACACTCTGAGTGTGATACAAAGTATCTGTAAAGAAAGATATTTGCATTCATGACCAGTGTGATGATGAAAGTAATGGTAATGTCTGCAATAATTAAAAGAGAACTAGCAGGGAAACATAAAAGATTGTGGGGTTTTTTAACCTATGTTAAATTCAAATTGATGCCTAATTGTCCACAAATTGATGCTGGAGACTCAGGCTGAAATACAGGAAAACTGATCACAGAATTTAAATTGTGGTATTTCAGCTGTTTGGTTCAAGTCCCATGAAGTATAATTGGGGTAGATTTGTTGCAACTTTTCTCCAAATAACATCTTTTAAGTCTCCTGACAAAATTATTTGAAACCAAATGAAAACAGTGAAAAGAAGACCAATAATCCCTCAAGTACTTTTTTTTCTGATTCTGTTGTTTCAGAAAAGGTCATCAACGGCATTGTGAATGAATTCTACATTTTATATTTTTTTTCTGTAAAGGTTCTTTTCTTACTGGAGGTAATATGGAAGGAATTTGGTTGTACAAACTCATCTGTAAAGAGGTAGAAAGAAAGGAAAGATTGCAGGTTGTGAGTAACATAGTTGAAAGCACAGCTCAAAATATGAAACTGTGTTAGCCAGAAATACATGTATAAAATTCTTAGTCAACACACTGAGCCAGGGTGAGCAATTGTTCACTCAGATAGAAAACAACATCAAAAAATAATTCATACATGAAGAAAAGAATGAAAATACTGCCTAAAGATGTAAATGTAGTTCAGAAGTTGATTTTTGTCATGGATGGGAATCTTTCCACCCCAGAAATTCATTTGCTTTCTCTGTGTTGTATGCTAAATTATTGATACAGATCTGTTGTGTTGCTGTTGAGACAAAGATATTCATAGAAGTTCTAGAACATGATTGTAAGATGCCACATGTAGCACTTGTGTAGAAAGAAGTGCTTTTCAAATGGACTATGTTGCAAATTAAATGTCTTGGTTGCTTTCTCTGCAGCAGATTGCATGCAGAAGGATTCTGAAAGTTGCAGACAGCTATTGCTACATTGTTCCCTTATCTAGTTTGAAGGATATTCCTTTGAAAAGTATCTCGGGAAGCTCTTTCCACATGGAATTGTTAGAAATTTCAAAAGGGAGAGACTCTGTTCAGTTTGTGTTGGCAGTGGCCTGTGTTTCTGCAGCATTTTCTTCCAACACCTCTTCAGAACTTGGCTTTAAGAGCCTTGTGTAATGGTCCTAGGTAATGAGGTATATTCTGCAGTTTAGGCTATAAATGTGTACAGTGAGTTAGCAGAGCAAAACTGATGAACGACCACTTGAAAAGCCAAGTGTGGTTGCTTGTCATCATTCATGTGCATATGCTAAAGTGATTCTCCTCCTCCCATCCCCTCCCAAGATATCTTTATCAATATATCTCATTCCTTCTTTATGAAGCTTTCACTGTAATGTTCTGAGCCTTAGGCTCTGATAAATTGTGACTGTCACATTCAATTACAACATACACTATGTGTCCTGTTAATGATGGTGTTCTCCCTCCACAGGAGATACCATGTGTCTGCTACCCAACATCATGTAACTTGTTTTACTTGAAGCTGATTAGATCATGAGAAGCAGAAGATTGCTCTCTAGTGAGCAAAACTGTATAAATCCCATTTTCAATGATAAATTTTTCATATATAAACATTTCATACAGGTAACAGATTTGTAAAAATTTATTTCCATTGTTAACTTGGATCACTTTACTACTTCAGGCTGTGATTTAAGGAAAAGCCTGACTTATTTGTATGGTGTTTAGCAGAAAAGCCCTGGATCCAAGTCAGAACACTGATACCAAATCACACAAAGATTAAAGAAGATCCACGATGGGATGCAAAAAGCTCAGGTTTCTCAAAACTCTCCCCAATAGGTATCTAAAATTTCTGTGACCAAATAGTGCTGAAGAATGCCAGTCCCATTATGAAATTTGATGTTTATTTTCCAAGTCAGGGTCTGCTGCAGCTGTTAGTAAATTCCAACATGCCTTTTAGACCACGTTAATTGTTGTCTTTTTCCTTGCATGTATTAGCTCCATAGAGCCATAACTACCATGCTGCTTCTAAAAATCCTCAATTTTTAGGAGTTCAGTGGGCAGTCTTTCAGTTCCCTGTCTCAGTTGCTCAACACCTTATGCTTGACTAATGCCTAAAATATTATGAAGTTGGAGAAATAATACATTTGGTACTGAAAGAGATTACTTGGGATATTTCTTTCATTTCTACTAAAGAGAATGTGCTACAGTTAAAAAAAGAGGCAACTTCAGAGTAATGATCTTAAGAGTGACTGATTAATCAGTATTGTATTACCCTTTTTTCTCTGCTAGCTGTAGAGACTGTGCTGAATAATAAAATACCAATTATTGTCTGTTAATACTTTGTTAGAAACTTTGTAAGAATGTGGCTTTAGTATCAGCTGATTTAGGGTCAGAGTAAAGTAACAAATTGAAGTGCATGTAATCTACAGTAAATGAAATTATTTTTCATTTATAGATATGGCTTTTAAATTCTGACACATTGCTGGTAGAGTCTTTAGGAAGTTCCTCCTCCCACAGTGATTTTGCACTGTTTGGAGATATCCTCACACCTACCTCTGGACCAGTGGGAACCTGGAATGCTGTCAAAGTCCTTTACCAGCCATGCATTCAATGCAGAAATAAGGAGTAAGTACAAACTTTTTTGAGCTCAGATTCTGGTATTCATTTGCCTTGCATTAGTATTTATTTCATGTTCTTTGGACAGTCTGTTAATCTCAGATATAAACCTCTTTGAATTTACGTATTTCTTAAAATGTTTTTTTTCAGCAAAATGCCAGAGGAGTAGTATTTGGTTTCTGCCAGAGAGAGTCTGGTTGCTACATTTTTGCATTGTGATATTAAAATATAGGCCAAAGAGTTTTGTTGTTTCTATGGGCACATGTCAGTAATTTAGGTATTAGTGTTTAAATTTAATTTGCTTTCAGCCCAGTGATGACGTTGCGTTAAAAAGAAGCAGGGCCCTGAGAGAAGGGAAAAAAGAAGAGGTGAGGAAGGTAGTTAAGTACAGTGTCATAAAAATACTTTTCTTTGATATGTCTGGGTGTACTGAAGCTCTCATAAAGGAAACAATTGATTTCAGCAAGTTTTTTTTGGAATTTGACATTATGAAAATCATACACTGCCTAACATGTTAAAGCCTTTATCTGTTGGAGAGCAAAGATAAGAGCATGTTGATTAAACAGTGTCTCCAATGTTTGCAGGTGCTGAAGTATGATTTAAGTATAATTTATTGCTTTCTCTGTGCAGTGATAGAAAATAAAACATCGATTTTGTGTTAGCCACACTTAAATAGTGCTTTTTTGTTGTTTTTTTTTTTTTTCTTTAAACTTTGGAAACTAGGAGAAAGATTTAAATAAGTATGGTTGAAGACATTCACTCCAGACTCAGTCAATACACAAATAATTTATAGCCCAAGACCTCATAAAAGTACAACAGAAATGTTTTCTCACATAGACAAGCAAACATATATATGAATTTAATATTTTTGTAGGAGAAACATACACCTTACAAGCATGTGTACTTCATTGTAATGTGTTTATCCTGGCTGTTACCAAGTGTATTCTTTTTATATTTCAATCAGATGCAATATTGAATAGGGGAAATAAACTGATGAATGGAGATAGTGCAAAATTTTAATATTTAGAAAAAATGTCATTGTTACATTGTTAATGTTAGTCACATAAGAGAAAAAAATATCATGTAATAGCTTCAGAAGATGGCTTTGGAAAACCTTTATGATCTAAATGTTATTTAGGGATCCAAAATACGTCCTAAAGTATTGTCATTTAAACTGCTTATTCTGAGAATGGGAGATGTTTTGCAAGAATTTGTCTTAAGTGAAAGATATTTCACTTGCGACTCTTAAGTCTTACAGAAGTGTAACTTACAGTTTTGCATTTCAAGGTTCATTTCTTTATTACTGAGAAAACTTAATTATCTTAACACATGTTAATCTACTCCGACATGTTATTGAGATAGAAATTATCTACTTAGACATTTTAGTAGCATTCACTAATTCTTTCCTTGAATGAAGTTCTCAACAGCAGTATTTTAGTGCGAGATTTTATTCAGTTCTTTCTATTTCCACTGACAAGACTTGTTAGTAATCACTTTTTTCTAACATTTCTTTCCACTCCACTACTATGTGTTTATCTTCGGGATTTTGCAGTGAGCACAAGGAAAAACTGAGGTTTTAATTCTTCTCTGACAGTAATTGGTATTTTCTCTATCCAGTTCCCAGACAAATGAAATAATGGAAGAGAAAAAATGAAGAATTGTTTTTAAGCTTCAGAAACAAAACTGTTGGTTTAGTATTGTTTTTCCATTTTTATATTTCTAGGAAAGAGCAGTAAAAAGGACATTAGCACATCAGTCTGTTTCCAGGATCTTGTTTATCAGCTGGCCTCAAGTACCATGTGAATCTGTGCAATCAGACTAAAGTCTTTCTGTATTTCCTGTACACAGGAGTGTAAACACAGCTTAAACAAAAATATCAAAACCAGTATGACTTATTTAATGTGATGCATTTGCATTTAGAACTCAAATACTATTTCAAGAATTCTGAACAAAGTGATTTCTTAGTGCAAGTTCCAAAACTGCCAGATGCCCACACTCTGATAAAAATTATAACACTTACCTTGCTTCCTCCTGCACATACACCTACCTTTGGAATAATGGAAAGGTTTCAGAGCCCATGGCCTTCTTCCCATAGAAGGGAATAAGCAAGGACACCTCCAGAGGACAAAGGGATCAACAGGAGGTCTGCATGTGACCTAGAGCCTGGAAGACCCCAGTCGCTGCAAGAGATAAGTGTGCACTGTGGCATCCTGTTTTATATTAGAGGGCTTCTTCGGTTTCTGTGAGTCCCTGGGTACACTTGGGTTCTGTCCAGTTCTGGCAGGGAACTGATCTGAATCTGATCTGTGTGGTGGGAGGGGAAGCACCTTTCTTACTTGTGGACACTGCAGGGTCTGTGCTGGTTAGCTGGGCCATAGGTTAAAACAGATTAAGGCTAACTAGAAGTAAAAGTATTGGTTTTAATATCTAAATATAATAACATAATCACATATTTGTAAAACATGGGTGAAGAAGTGAAACAAAATCTGTATCTAGTCTATGTACCCAAGCATAAATCTGCTTATTGTGAGATAAATACTCAGTCCATTGTAGCAGTTGAGGTCTTGGGCTTTGTGAAATTCTCCCTTGGCAAATGCTGCTGCTAAAGAGGGTCTGACTGATATTGTCTAATAATTCACATTCAGACACTCTTTTCTGGGGATGCACATGAATAATTTTCTTGAGGGGAGTGTAGTGTTTGAATGTGATCTTCATTTCAAGACTTTTGGGGAAAGTCTAAAGAAGTTTATTGTTTCACTCAAAAACTCATTTTATCACTCCTTTATTCAGAGCTCGGTTTTGTGATTCTTTGTTATTAATGCTTATTTCTCTTCCTCGGATACAGATGTGTTTTTGCTCTTAAAGCAGGAATTATGTCCTGTGGACAACACTGCTTCAGTGAGCAGCAGAACTCCAGTAAATCAGTGGCATATCTATCACTGTACCTTACATTCAGTATTGCTCTAAATGTTAACAATGCAAAAGAAACAAACATTCAAGTAGGATTAATGTCCATGGTTCATTGCTGGCTGCAGAGTGGTAATTACCCATTTGGAGTGATTGCTGTTCAGGAGTGGCTGATCCTGAAGCCTTTTCTAAAGTTGTGGTCTGAGTTAGGCTGAGGATTGCTGTAAAGGTAATCATCCTTTGTGTGGCATGAACCATATGCTGATTTCATGTCAAATTTGTTTATCTGTGTTGACCATCAGCTCCTTTCCAGGTAGATTGCAGTCTAATAATCAGCCTTCCTCTTTGTTTTTGTGCAGATGTCTTTTATCAAGTTATATCCTGATTTTGTTCAGAATTTTTTTCTTTCTTGTTTGTAGCCATTTTTGTTCCCAACATGTGTCCTATTGATGGCCCTTCCAAGCTCCATGTTGTCTGTGGAAGGAAGAAGCATCTCTGTTCTTCCAGTCTCTGGGAGAATGACTGACATATGGGATAGGAACAAGCTGTGAACATGTAATGTGGAGCCTCTCTCCATATACCTTTATTTTGGCAAGGAATTCTTAACAGTTGTGCTCTGGGTGTTCTCTGTATATTATGCTGCTTTTCTTGAGGACATTCAGTAACTTTTAAGGCACTGTGAAGTTAAAATAGGGTTAAGTATATCCAGACATGCTATTTATAGTAATTCTTGTAATTTCTCCTTTGAGATGTATTCCGCTGATCTTCCCAATGGTAGCTTTTAAGTGTTGTAGTGATTTGTATGTTACTCCTTCAGCAGTGAAACAGGGCGTGAAACACTTAGGTGTGTGTTACGTGTGATAACACAAATTCTGTAAGTCTGTTTGCAGTTAGGCTTTTAGCCCTTGAGAGAGCTTTATGACAATTCTACAGCAAATTAGTTGAAACTGCATGAAAAAAGTATCTTATAAATGTGTTTGAGTTCCATTAGAGAAGGATACCTAATGCATTTTCTGCTCCATCCTTTATGGATCATGTGCATGTGATTATGTTGGTTCCCTCCACTTTTCTCTCAGCAAGGCTACTTTTCTCCACCTACAAATCTGCTGTTCAGACAGAAGAGGTCTTCCTTTCAAGTAGCAGGTTCTTGGCAAATAACACCTTATGCAAACAGCCTTAGCTGCTGGGAGTGATAATAGTAAATACTGCTGAAGTGAGAGTGTTGTAAAAATGTATGAAGAAAATTGAAAATGTGGTTAACATGGCAATTTGACCATAACTTGATCTCAGAAAATATATGTGAAGGTGCAGTGGGAGGAAAATTGCACTTTTCCCTTTAGAGGAGAGTGCTAGGCAAGGCTCTGTCAAAAGGTTGTTGATAGCTTTTTTGTATCTCGTATGCATCTGGAATCTCTCTGAATGGTTTTCAGCTTTTGCAGAAACCTTTTCCTATGTAAAAAATTGCTGCTTATAATTTGGGAGTTGAAAAATTACTTCCAGAAATTGTTCATTTTATTAGCTTTAGAGGGACAACAGTAAGATGGAAAATTGAGTTTGTGCCTGAAAACCTGGAGGGTTTGAGTCCTAGTGCTTTTATTACAGTCCATATATAGTTAGATGTTTATGAAGCTGTTACTGATGTATTCCAGAATGTTATTTCTCCCAAGAATGGCTTTCATTCTGTATATGACTCTAGAGTACTTCTCATAAAACATCAAACTGTGTCCTATATCACTGATTCTTTGATGTCTGAGATTTTCTCAGTTTTTCAGTGACTCTTGCCTGTAGAAAACACATGGGACCACACAGATCAATAGCTGATTGACTGAGGAGTGACCAGTGTTTCTCTGGTTTGTGCTCTCTGTAAGCTAATTTCTCTGCCTGGGATGATTAAAAGAGTGGATGTGATTGTAAATGGAATATGAAGGATCTGGTTTGTTTCAGTTTGGTTTTTTTTTTTTCTGTTCCCTTCTTGAATTATTTCATGGTACTGAGTTAAGAGAACTGACACCATGGGTGGGATGAATTACCTTAAAAGAGATGACTGAAGAGTCAGGCAAAAATTTTTAAAAGATACAGTCTGATGCCAGTCAGGGTTTTGG